AATTTTTTTTTTTTTTTTTAAATACCTCTTTTTTATAGTAAAAACTTTTTAGTATAACAAATGTTGGCTTCACTTAAAAATTTACGAGATAAAACGATTTCCGCTGAAAGGAAGCGCTGACTGCCTACGCTAAGATAACTCTAAACTGAACTGTACACTTTTGAACGCTTGTAAACGCTGACGCTATACTCCCACATCTTTTTCAACACGTGTGATAATACAAGATCAAAAAAAGGGACAGAGACACGCATACATGGCATCCCCCACTTCTGTAGACCTGCCCCTTCCTCTATGCAGAAATATCCAAGAAAATTTTATTTCGATTTCAGAATTTTCTCGATTGTTTTTAAAAGGTTTTTTCGATTTAAAAAAAATTTAATTAAGTACATACTGCCATTTTGTCACAAAATTTCAACCCGAAACGATTTTCAACTTCACTGTAAGACGATGACGCGAGGTCACAATCTGTTTTCTTTTTTCGATTTGCTACATTCACATGATTTTTAGATTGTGTGGTGCGCTCTTTTTCATTTTCAAAATCAACGATTTCCACAGAAGATACAATCTACATAGGAAAAAAGCCGGTCATTAAAATGATAATACTTTATATGCACGTATGCGCATGTACAGGTTCAACTGAATTCTTACACTATGCAAACGTTTGCGCGTCAACTTTTTTTCCATGCTTGCAATGTACAATAATTGATAAGGGAAAATTGCAAGAACTTCACCTGCAAGGGTGCCACATGCAACACTATTTCCAAAATCAGATGCTGATACAGTCTAATGAAAAATGTTTTGATTGATGAAATTTATATAGTTATTTCTAAAGATTATTAAAATTCAATATAATACGTACAAAACTTGGTGAATTAGTTGGTAAAAGGTTGAAAAATTTATAAGTGTAATCTCGAAGCGGCAAACAGTTCACGTAATTATGTCCATGACTGAGAGTAAAATATTCAAAAGTTAAAAATAAACAATTATCAATTTTAAGTGATCTGTGTATTCACTTACTTCAGGGCATCGTCACAAGTGATAATAGAACAACACCAATGGTTCAACCATGTGCCGTCTGAGATGATGCCCTTTTTAAAAGTATTTTTTGGGCTAGTGATATCTTCCAAGTCCCAAAATTTATACAATCTATCCATACTGGCTGTTGCTAAGAATCTGTGATTGTCTTGTGCCACTAAACATACCACTGCAATCAAATTAAGTTATGAAATAAAATTCTTTTACAATACATATTTTCATACTAAGCATAATTACTTGTAACAGCATGTAGATGTGCAGGAAAATGTCTGTATGGCATTAAAAAAGTAGTATTTCCTCTTTTAGTTCTAAGCATCGGAGATTTTGTTACCAAGTTCCAAAGAGCCACATAACCATTAGAAAAACCAGCAGCAATAACGCTGCAAATTTTAAGTGAAATTTTAATTTTTACTTAATTTTTTTTTAAAGGGAAATTGTCATAAACACTCGCTGTTTTCTAGCTATTTGATAGCCTCAAAAGACATGATTTTTTTAACGTGGAATTAATACTGTTGCCAAAAAACTTAGAAAATCGATAAATTAATTTTTTAAATTAGATTTTTTTTTAATAGCGAGAACTAATGCAACGTCACAACAGTTTTCACGCGTAATTTTACCTATGCCCATCTTCTTTGGTCCATGATAACTTTGTAACTTGCCAAGTTTGTCGTTTATTATCATACATCTGCAAATTTGTGACCAGTACTATAGAAGGCTCCGTATCATAAATAGGATACCTATGAAAAATTCAACGAAATATTTAAAAACATTTTAAGAATATAAGTAAGTTTTACTAGACTCAACAATTAGGGCTTACTGATTTTGTTGGTTTTCTGTCTTGATAAAGTGTTGGTTCACATGTGGCAGACTTTCTGGAAAAATAAGTGAATAAACACGAATGCTACCATCAGAGCAAGCTGCAGCCAGCAACCCCATTCTTTTAGTTTGATCATCTTTTTCTATAAAACCAGGTAATTTTTCATGTTCATAACATCCAGATGGACACCATTCCATACTCCAAACTGTACCTCCTTCGTGTGTAATAGCATAAGCAAGCTTCGGTTTTGCTGCATTTTTATTTCTGGAAATTATTTAATGAAAAAATTGTTATTCAATGCAATATAAATTAAATAATCTATTAACTGATAGATATTATTACTAGCAACTTACTTGTAGTCTAAGAATCCTACATTCCAAATTTGAATAACATTTTTTCCAGAATGCGCTTTTCCTACTGAATATTCTTTGTCCATATTAGTATGAGTACTGACAGCAATGAACTCATTAACATCTTCAGAACACGTCAAATAAGTAGGTATTGGTAACCACGCAATAGCCCAAACAGGTCCTCCAGTGAAAAATGTTGGATTATCTAAAATTACATTGTATATATTACAGTGAACAATTACATAAATAATCATTTATTTTTATTTGAAGTAGTACCTTGAACACATTGACCTTCAAACCTTTTCCATTTCTTCCATTTAGTTTCCGTGTTACTTTTCCGCGTATCAAATACTTTGTTCATAGTAGCCATTGATTCCTCATGTTCCGGTATATAATTCATTCCCTCTTTTGAATCCAATAGTTTAAATACTTTCGGTGTAAATTCATCAAATAAATGAAATTTGTAATTTTGTAATTCACTGTGACATAAATTTAATTTCATAAATTCAATCAAACTCAAGACTAAAAACACTTCTAAATGTAATCAAATGATCCAAAAATACTTACGAGTTCAAGGTCCATATAAAAGCATTATTATATGTTGTAGAATATTTAAAACAATCATCTATGTTTTCGTGTATAAATTTAAACTGTTTGCTGCCTATTAAAAAATTAAAATTAATTTTTAAATGTCCCCGATAAACAGCAGTTCAATAAAAAAAATAAAAAAACAAACAAACCAAACTTACACAAATCTTTATTTTTTTTATATACACTTGATTTAGATGGTTTTTTCCGTGATTCAGATTCAGATTCAGATTGTAGATTCTCACTTTTGTCGCTATAGGGCTCTTCATCGGACAAAGAAAGATTTGGATCTGCGTTATCTTCTAAAAAATGGTTTTCATTTGCATGTTTTACGATTTCAGCTTCCGAAGTTGATTGATATTGACATATTTTACAACAATAGTTCTGAAACAGTACGTAAAAAAAAGATATTTTTTAAATTAAATGATATTGGGTGATGTGCAAAAATTGTTTCAATTCCGTTATGGTAAATAATATACCTTATGAGGTGTAAAATTACAACTTGAATAATGATTTATCATTTCATCAAGTTCTTTACTCGAAAATTGACATCCAACTTGATTACAACTTGTATTTTGATTATTTAATATTTCCTGTTTCCATTTCTTTAATACGATACCAGGAACTTTTCGCTTTAGAGTTGGGACCTGTATAATATTTTTCTGCAAAATTGAATTGTTAATGCATTTAAAGAATTGTTGTGTTCAAAAATAAATTTATAACTGTAGTTAACTCTTACCAAAGATTTTGAAACTTTTAATGTTTTATCGGTCAAATTATCTTTATCACCTTTTACTAATTCTGTGATTTCTAATATTTTAACAGTTGCTCTAAAAATATAAAGAAATATCGATTTTTAAAAAAAAGAATACTAGGAGACATGAAATATATTATTTAAAGTATTACTTTTCAGCAGCCTTCCTTTTTGATTTTTGTCCTGCATCATTTTCTGCGCTTCCTTTTAATGAAACATCAAGTGATAATTTCTTTTGTTCAGCTTGTTGTTTATGAATCCTTTCATGATACTCTAATGACGAAGGTTTAATCATGGCATTACACTCAGGACAAGTAACCATCAATGATCTTATTTCCTAAAAATATATGTGAGAAAAAGACACCATTATATATTACTGTTATTAGTTAAATTAAAATTCAGAGACTTACTTCATCACTTTTTCCACAAAACATTATATGTGATAAATATCCCACGACACTGCGTTTGGTATCTAAGCAACTCTCGCAAATAAGACCTGCCTTTCGTTTTTTAATAGCATTTACTAAAACTTTTTTTAATAACTTCTCGTCGTTATCATAGTTCTAAAAAAAAATTGATTGTAAAAATGGTCAACTTATGTTATGAGATATGCAACAAATTAAACTTACTGGATTTTCGGTTCCTTCAAGCCACGCTAAATCATTATGTGCTGAAAGATTATGATGGCTCCATAGAGATTTTTTTAATTCTGCATGACATTTTCCACATTTGACCAATACCTATTATATTAGTAAAAAAAATTTTATTAGTGAATAGAGATATAACGAGTCCTTAATACTTGGTTAATCAAATACAATTTAAAAATGTAACATATTTAAAAAGTACAAAAAGAACTGAGAAATGTATATTTAGTAAACAAAAAAGAAAATATAATTTTTTATGCTAAACTTAATGTAAAAAGAACTTACGCTTGAAAGTTTGTTGGATTCTGTAGATGTATCAAGCTTGAGTTTATTAGTTCTTGAGGATCTAGATGATTGTAAACGGTGAGGTGCATAATCATTATCACTCTTCTTTTCTTCCATATTTATCTTAGGTCTTCCTCTTTTCCTACGTACATTGACCCTTGTGTATTTTTTTTTTTTACATACAACTCTGCTACCTTCACTGGCACTGCTAAGATCATCGCTTACATCTGGTTCACTCATGAAACTCCTATTATCATCTGAATCAGATTTCTGCAGGGTAATTTTTTGTTTGTTTGTCCTGTCACGCCAACTAGATCTTATTTTCTTGTCTTAAACAAATTGGCAAACCATGTTCAAGTAAGTAGTTGAATTTAAATTTGAATAAACAATAAAAATTAGTAAAAATTTCATAATACCTGCATTAGCTTCGTCACCTTTGCTTGAATCATCAGAAACAATTACATTTGATTTTTTAGGTCGTCCTCTGCCTCTCTTTCGGACGTTTCTTTGATCCATGTTCTTGTTTTTTGAATAATCTTCTTCACCTGAATTTTCGTGACTGTCTGAGCAGTCCAGCGGTACTGCTGATAACGAATAGGCCTATAAGAGCAAAATAAATGTAAAGGTAAGGAAACTCACGGATACCATTTAGTAATTTTTATTCTTTTTATGCCAATGGGGCGAAAATAGTTAATATTATCCCGCTAAAATAATTGTGCAAGTACTTATTTACTTACTCACTACACGAGAGCTTGTAAGCCTCAGACCTCCGTAAGTACCACGTGTGTTCATTTGTTCAGATGAACTGCACTTGACGTGCTTGATCGATATTCGATAGTGTGCCCATGTAAGATTTCTACAGAACTGTAACTGTATATCTGTATATGCATTCAATATATAGAAATAGTTCTCTCTGATTCTCTGAAAATGTAAAAATCTTACCTTGGCACACTACCGTCATCTGACGGCAGATACAAGCCCATATCCCATAAGCTATTAAGGCCCAGCGTTGGGTTATGCGGGTTCGTTCAATATCGGAACTTTTTACCTAGATCGTATATGTAGCTATACGATCTAGGGAGAATGTTCCGGGGCATTGCCAAAGACGCGCGAAAATTAAAAATTGTAATATTAATAACACAAGTGCCTATCACCCAATAACCAGGGGCGCTAACTGACCTCTCTATTAAATAATATAGTATTAATTATTAACACAAGCACCTATCACCCGATGACCCGGGGCGATTACTGGTCGCTTTATTAAACGATATATATTAATAATTTATAGCACAACGGTCAACTGGAGATAGGTGCTTGTACTGTTAATTAATATTTTATTATTTAATAGAGAGGCCAGTAAGCGCCCTGGGTCATCGGGTGATAGGCGCTTGTGTTATTTATTAATAATTATTGATTTAATAAATGGATGAGCATAATAGTTACCCGTTTACTAAAATTTATGTATGTACTCTCAAAATTAATAAATACTGTAAAAATATTTGCTGAAAGATCCGAAAACAGGTTATGACGCTTTGTTTTGATTATGCTTTTTGGGCAACGCAAGTAGTTGCATAATAGCCTATTTTGAGGAAAGCAAGCAGCTTGCCTTTAGATGGCGGATAGGAGCTTCCGTACCTACTTGTGCATTGCGTTGGCACGACAAACCTTGAGCCTGTGTGTGCTCTTTTTCGTTGTAATAAACCACATGACTTGTGTGTCTTTTATTTATATTATCAAATAAATATCTTTATTTGTTCTATACTTTGTTGCACTTGGACCTTCTTACCGTTAGTCTGTTACTATATATTTTCCTTTTCTTAAGTTAATTACAACAATTCAGAAGTGGGATACAGACTAGAATGAGGCCTGTGGATAAAAAGACAGTGATATTCGCAGTGTGAAGAAAAGAAGAATATTCAGTGTGTACGTGCGTAATTTTTTTTGAGTCAACAGAAAAAAAAAATTACATGCAACGGTCAAGCTAGTGTCGCTGTTGTGTTGTTTGTACTTTTCTAAGTACAGTAGTTAGCGCGTGCTGTGTGCTAGGGTTTTTCTGTTTTCGTGTTATTGAAGACTTAACGTCGCGTGCGTAGTAACTGTGTGTAAACTGCGCATGAAAGACGAACTTGATACTTTCGTAAACAATAACGATTTATTGTGCTTTCTACGTGGTGAAACCGATAACATGCCTAACAATGGAATTGATCAGTTACAATCGACTCTTGCTGAAATTGAAAGGCTGAAGGCAGGTAGGCTTAGTGATCGCCAGCATTAAGAAGAAACTTTGGCAACGTCTAATGCGGAGTTACAACGTCTCCGGGAACATCAGCGAGGCGATGATTCTAGTAATTCTCAAGAGTCACAAACTACTTTTTTCTCTCAAGCAATTATTGCGTTGGGTGATCGTTTGCAAAATCAGTCGGTATCAGTACCGGGACTTCATGAGTCGATTCGCGAGTTTTCCGGGAACGAAGGCCCTGAACGCGCGAGTGCGTGGCTTCTTGACCTTGTAGATTCGAAATTGCTTTTCGGATGGAGTGATGCCGTTGCTTTTAACATCGCAAAGTCTAGATTAAAAGATGGTGCGCTGAAGTGGCTTTTAACAAAGTCAGAAACGGTAACAAGTTTTCCTGAGTTTAGAGAAGCTTTTACGAGTGCATTTACGTACAAGAATTCTCGCAGTGACAAATTAAAAATGTTGCTAGCACGTGTACAAGAAGCTCGTCAGCCGTCACAAGATTATGTGTTAGACGAAATTTGGTTGTATAGTGGTTTGGACTTTTCTGTCAAAGAAATTCGTGATGAAATAGCTTCCGGACTTTTGTCCAAAGATCTTGCTCAGTACGCTTTAAGTAAAAGCTATTCATCAACAGATGCTATACTCCAAGACTTGGTGAGAGTAATGAATATTCAAGGAATCCGGTAGGAGCGGGAAATTCATCAAAAGTCCATGAATCAGAAGCACTGTAATAAGGAGAGTGGAGCTAGCGAGCAGTGTGTGCGGTTACGCATAACGTCCTGTTTGCCATACATTTTAGTGAAGTCAAAATCTGATCGTGGTGAAGGGGAGCTTCATCCCATTCCTCCATCAGGGCGCCGTCCGTTTGAAATTGTTCATATGGACCACGTTAGTCCTTTTCCTACGTCCTCTAGCGAGAAAACGCATATTTTTCAATTTTTGGTTTGATTGACAATTTAACACGTTTTGTAATGCTTGAACCTGTTTCAAACTGTTCAGCGAAAACTACGGTTCAAGTATGTAAAAAGTTTGTAAATCAGTTTGGTGAACCGGGTCGAATTATTTCAGATAGGGGCACGTGTTTTACGTCACATTTGTTCCAGGAATTTTGTTTGAAGCATGGAATCAAACACACTTTAAACTCTTCTAGACATTCCCAGGCTAATGATTTAATCGAGCGAATGAACCAAACTATTAATCGTGCGCTTAAAATTGCTGTTTCGGATAAAGAACAAAAGTGGGACAAAGCTGTAAAGTTAATTGAGCGTAATATGAATTCTTCTGTTAGCGCGGCAACAGGAAAAACTGCTTTGAATGTTTGTTGGGTTATGTTCCTCGATTTGAAGAAGGAGCTTTGAGAGAGTTAACTGAACATTCCGAAAATTATGTTAATCCAACACACATTCGGAATAAAATACGCGAAAATATTGAGAGTGAGCTGTTGCGTTATAAAGAGGTATTCGATAAAAATCGGAGAAAAGCGCCTGAAATCAAAATTGGAGATATCGTGTTTATGAAGAGAGCTCCTGTGTCCACGGGTTGTTCTACCAATTTACAGCTGTCTTATTTTGGTCCTTTGGTCGTTGTTGAAGTTTATCCAAGTAATACTTACCGTGTAAAATATTTGAATGAAACTCGACGACGTAATTTTGTAACCATAGCTCATGCGTTTCAATTAAAAATTTGGACTAGCGACTCTCATTATGAACTCGATGCTTCAATTTCAATGAATGATTCCAAGTTTGATGAAAATTATCCAAATAAAAATGATTCTAATGTAAATGATGTAAATGAAAATGATTCAAGTCCAAATAGTTTACATGAATTTGTTTTAAATGTGAACGTTAAGGGTAAAAATATATGTAGCCATACTGATGATAATTCTAATACTTTTAATCGAGAACGAGATTGTCAAGTTGATGTTAATAAACATGTAAATTCTAGTACTTTTAATCACCCTCAGAGAATCACTCATAAACCTGAAAGGTTTGATGATAAAGTATCTATTGTAATGTATTTTTTTTAATCAAATTTGTATTGAAGGTTTCAGGGACCAAACCATTTAGGATGGCCGATTGTTAAAGATTACTTTATTAGAAGCGCCATCTTCTGTTCATATTCCTAATCATCCTATGTATCGCGAACGAAGTAGATGAAAAGAGATTGAGAGTCAACGTACGGCGTCTCGTACTTTCGTCGTCAGAATTTCGATCACTCACTGTTTGACTCTTGTGCAGTGCGTTGGCACGACAAATCTTGAGCCTGTGTGTGCTCTCTTTTGTAGTAAAAAACCACATGACTTGTGTGTCTTTTATTTATTTTATTAAATAAATATCTNCATTGCGTTGGCACGACAAACCTTGAGCCTGTGTGTGCTCTTTTTCGTTGTAATAAACCACATGACTTGTGTGTCTTTTATTTATTTTATTAAATAAATATCTTTATTTGTTCTATAATTGTTGCACTTGGACCTTCTTACCGTTAGTCTGTTACTATATATTTTCCTTTTCTTAAGTTAATTATAACAATTATCTGATAAGTAATAACGAAAATCGATTTGTCGTGTCAACTGCAATGTGCAATCCTTCAAAACTCTAAACGCACCATGTATCGAAAAAAAAAAAAACGAAACAATCTGAGGCTTATTTACTTGCTCTCTCAGGTACTAACTACTTCCGCCCTGCGGTTGTATGGTTAATACTTTTTAAACGTACACGATACTTTAAGTATGTTGCAAAATCCAAAATTGTACATTGTCATGCGTATGCATAAGTTAAAAACTCTCGAAAAAAAAAAATTTTATTTTGCAATGTAACGGATATCGAAATGAGGTCCATAACGGCGCAAAGTGCTTGTGTATATATAAATACAAAATAATCTTAGTGGAGTCTTGTTCAAAAATCATAATTTTTTATACTATGATTGTAATATTAATTGTTTCATACTTACTTTTGAACGTCTGCCTCTCTGTTTTATTGGTGTATCATTATGTTCCGAAATTTCTTCAACATTATCTTGACATTCCACATTATTTTCAATCTTGATACTAACATTTTCTAGTTTTGACTTCAAAGTTTCTGCTAAGTTAATGTCACGTGTATCCTCATTAAATTTATCGTCTGGATTATCAAACCTTGACTTTTTTTTGGGTGGCCTTCCTCTTCGTTTTTTTAATGCACTATTTAGAACTTCAGTATTTTTATCAGTATTTAATGTCTCTTCAAATTTAGAATCACATTCTAAATTATTTTCATTTGGCTTTGTTGCTTCATCAATCAATTTTTCTTCATCAGAATTATTACCTAAATCATCATACACAATCTTATCGCTCAGCTTATCATCAGACATTTGACTTTCAGAAACTCTGATTTTTGGTGGTCTTCCTCTTCGTTTTTTTGATGTGCTATTCGGAACTTTGTATTTATCTAATATCTCTTCAGACTTAAAAGCATTATTTTCACCTTGCTGAATTGATTTTTGAGTAAATTTTTCTTCATTAGAATCGCCACCCAAATCTTTGTTTATTATTATATCAGTAAGCTCATCGTTTGTTAAATTATTACTTGTAACTCTGTTTCTTCGTGGTTTTCCCCTCCGTTTTTTTGATGAATCGTTTGAAAGTTGTGTATCTCCATTTGATGTTTCTACAGATTGAGTATTAAATCCTAAATTACTTGCATTTAGCGTTGGAGTTTCACTCATGAATTTGTTTAGATTACAATCATTATCTAAATCATGGCTGACAACCTTATTACTCAACTCATTGTCTGTTGTACTACTATTTGAAACTCTGATTTTCGGTGAACTTCCTCTTCGTTTTTTCAATGTACCATTTGGAACCGTGCTATCTTCATCTGACATCACTTCAGATTTAATAGTATATTCTAAATTATGCTCGTCTTGCTGAGTTAATTCTTTATTGAAGTTTCCTATAAAAGAATCATTACCTAAATCATTGTAGACAACCTGATTGCTGAGTTTAGTGTCAGCTGCATTTTCATACGAAACTCTGACTTTTGGTGGCCTTCCCCTTCGTTTTTTTGGCACACTATTTGTAACTACACTTTCTCCATCTGATGTCACTTCACACTTAATGGTGCATATTACATTGTTTTTGTCTTGTCCAGTTGGTTCTTCGATAAATTTTTCTACCTTACAATCATTACCTAAATTGTTCGTAGCCTCATTACTGACGTTATTATTTATTATGTTATAAGTTGAAACTCTGGTTTTAGGTGGTCTTCCCCTTCGTTTCTTTGTTATACTATTATGTTCTAATAAATTACCCGTATTTTTATTCAATACCTCGGTACTAGTTTCTAGTTCTAATAAACTCGACCTGTCATTAACATTTTCTTCAGAATTTTCAAGAGTATCAGATGGAATTTGGACTTTGTCCAAAGAATTGTTTGTTCTTTTTTTTCTGAGTCGTAAGTTCTCCGAGTTATCGTCAATAAGACTGTCTGATTTTACTGACCGTCCTATTTCTTTTACAAGCATATCACTTTCTCTAGTAGTATTTGCTGTATATTCTGTTATTTTGTCGAACTGTTTTATAGGATTACTGAGACAGAAATTAATTTTCGAAGCTAAATTCTTATGAATTGTTTTATTTGACGATGCTAGATCCTCTGCATTATCATCGCTATATTTGGAATCTTTTCTAGAATAAGATATACTGTAAGTTCTAATAATTTTAGGTACTTTATAATTTATTGTATCATTAAATGACGTATTAACGTCAAAAGACTTTTTTGTTTTATTGAGTTCAACAACGTCTATGGAACAATATGACATAGCAGTATCATTTTTAGTTTGATCTGACAATTGATTCACTTGAGATTGTTCCATTGTTTCAGGCAGAGCTTCTGTGCAAGTATCATTTTCGTTCAAACCATTACCTTCCTTTTGATTATCAAGTTTATCAATTTCATCATTACATTTGCTTTTGAAAAAAGATGCCTTAGAATTTTTTTTATAGTTATTCAATATTTTTTTTTGTCTTTGATCTTTATCGTCAGATAATTGTAGTAAATCTGATTTTTTGGTGTCTTCTATTAATTCTTGATCAATTTTGGCAATCCGATTTTTTTTTAATATTACTGATTCATCCATCACATTTTCCAGTTCATCATAAATACTGGTTGAATAACTGGATTTTTCTGGAATGATGTTTTGTAAAAGTTTTGTTTCAAATTGTGATATTGGTAAATCAGATTCATCAAGCACACCTTTTTTTTCAGAACCGAAAGTTTTATTAAGTGCTAAATTAACATTTTCAGACTTATCGCACAGATCGAACGTACTCTTAATACCATCACTCATTATATTTTCACTACCAGTAGATTTCGAAGTAAAACATACATCTTTTTGCATTTCAACATCAAACAAATTTGTTGATTTAACATTTTTTATACTTTCATTTTTTAATGTCTTAACATCATACACACTAGCTGAATTCATAAATTTTGGAGAAGAATTTTTTACATCGATATTTGAAGATTGACATGTTTTTTCATTCATATTTCTAAAATCATTCGCTGAATGAAAATGAGATAATTTGCTTGGATCGTTCGTTTTTATTACATTTGTTGTGCATGGTATTTTTTCAAAGTTGACTTCATTTATATTGATATTTGATGTTTCTAGTACACTGTTTGACAGAGTAATACTATTGTTTTCTAAACTTTCAGTTTGAGATTCACTATTTGTAATTTGGGATTTCATTTTCCGTTTATTGGTGTAAGTTCTTACTATTTTTGTTTTTTCAGTCTTTTCTTCATTTTCTGCAATCCTAGCAAACTGTTCTATAGAATCATTTTTATTAATTTTAATGATATTGTCACTGGAAATGTTTTCCACATTACAATCACTAAGATTCATGCGATTTAAAATTTGAGATTCAACTGCAACTTTTGTGCTAACAGGTTCGTCTACTATCTCTTCCACAATAAATTCAATTTCCTCATATTCAATATAATCTTTACCATCAGTAGTTTCATTTTCATGCTGTACTTTTCCATGAGAGTTTTCGTTTAAATTAATGTAGTCTAAACTTAATTGATTTTCATCTGGGATCACGGTTGAAGTTGCTTCAGTTTGACTAGTTTGATAAATATCCATACTATCACTTTTTGTGCCATTATCCTTACATTGATATTTTACACTGATTTGTACACTTTTCTTATCTGCCTTGTCGAGTTGCTTAACATTTTTCGTTTCAGGATTACTGTTATCAGTGATTGATTTATCTCTCAAGTCATTACTATCATTCTTTTGAATTGTTTTTTCTTCATTTTTTACATAACTACTACAAAAACCTCTGTCCTTTTGTTTTTGTGATTTTTCAAATTTTTCAGTAGAATTATCCTCAGCCTCTATAATTGGTTAGAAATACACAAATAAAATATTACTTTAGCTATCAGCATTAAATCCTCCATTTAAATTTTATTAGGGTGTTCAAAATGTATAAGTATTCCTCATTATAAATTTTAATACCTTCAAAGTTTATATGTATGCATAGTTTTAAAAAATGCACCTTTAATCTCGACAGTTTACATTTCAAATCTTTTTGTATGGTAAGACGCATTTCATGCTAATTAATATTGTAATAAAACGCAATAAAACGACTGAAATTACGTTACCTGTGACTTTCTTACTTCGGTTAATCAACCCCTTCAGCAACTCTGGAGGTAATACAAAAACTTTTGTCCCATCACTGCATTTCGGTACAGATTTCATTAGCACCTCTTTAGGGCTTTTATTTATATTTTTATCGCACATTTTTATTGTAACAGTAAGATCTGAGTAATACAAAATAAATTTATAACGTTACTATTTATGCTCGTGGATTTGTTAAAAATTGATTCAATAAAAACCAACTCTTCATAGCAAATGATTTTAATATTTACATAATTGCAGTAAAACTCTTAACTACAGTTAAACCGAACAGTAAAAATACTCTTTATTAGATTATGATAAGAAAACTGTCTAACGAGCTTTTAATGACTTAAGATAAAAATTACGTTTGCACTTCCGTAACGTGATAATGATTGTAAATACACTAACGTTCAGGTTATGTCAATCTAACGCGCGACATATATATACACACACCACTACACAAAAACAATTGACATGTGCGCAGTGCGCGCAAGCCGCTAATATATATAGGTATAATAATAGGTTTTCACGTAAATGGCAACGCTGCTGTCACAGATCGTCACATAAGGTAAAGTGACTACTGGAGCTGAGGTCCGAAATGCCAAAACAAATCGTGATTTTTAGCGACGGTGTTATGGAAAAAAGTGCGACTTGTTTTGGCATTTCGGACCTCAGCTCCACTAGTCACTATACCTTATGTGACGATCTGTGACAGCAGCGTTGCCATTTACGCGGTGAATCTGACTTTCGGAACGCACCCATAGAGAAATGAAAATGGGCACATACTGTGTGGGCAGGCACTGGCAGCGCTGTTTTGTTTCAAACCCATACTCTTTTATGAAGTTTTCAAAATTTACATTTTACATTGATTTACCTAATTCGCACTTTAACTACAAGTTCAATGAAATTCCAACTTTATCATCTCACGTCTATTATACCTTGTTACGATGAAAATTATTACATGTTTTTTTAATTAATAATTTCATATTTTTACGTAAAAACTTTCAAGTATTTGCAGTAAAATTATACCCATAATAAAAAATGGAAAAAAATAAAAGTGACAGTGACAAAAAGTGGACATGTTTGCTTACTATCCATGATACAACCCCTTGCTTACAAAATGAAAAGTGAAAAACAATTTCGTTTAACAAGTTTTGAGACTACGCGATAAAAGGTGGAAGGGTACAGAAGAGAGTAAGACTGCTTCGCATTGTGTTTTAACGGAGTTGTGAGGATTGTTAGGGTTTAATGTCAGTAGGATTAAATAACTTGACTGGTTTAACAATTCAATTTTCAATAAAAATCTATAATATTTTAATTTATATAAAAAAGACGTTTTTTTAATAAATGCACTTTTATTATCATTTAAGCACATTCATACAATTAAATCATACGCCTGAGAAGTTCATTGATCTTGTCTTCTCTGTTTCCAAAGTCACCGCCCTCAACATAGTGGTTTGTCTTTTTGCGCCAACCTCCAGTCGGTGTGTTTAGCTAAAAAAATTTATTCAATCATCACACATGGCATTAGAATTTTTCGTAACTTTATTTCAAACTTGCGTCTATTTGCACCAAATCCACATAAGTACGGAGCGTAAGGTTTATATTATTGAAATAAGCCTGATTAAAGGGTTCGTAGCATCCATGTACATTACAATAATACATCCCCTGCAGACCTCTGCAGGTGTTTTCTGTACTATGTTATATTTACATATTTACCTGGATTTGGTGTGAATAAACCCAGCATTAATAAAATCTAGTAAAAATAATTATAAATAAAAACTGAACTTCGTTGTATGTAAAAATTTTGTGCGAGGAATACTTTCTTTAGAACTTAGGTTACGGTAATAAAGTAATGGTGTACCTCAAATTTGTTTACGACATAGTAGGAAGTGATACAAATATAAGATTTAAACCACTATGCCTATGTCGAATACTATGATATATAATATTTAACTATGATTTACCTTAAACGGCCATAAGGAGTTGCTGGCGTACTTAAATTTAGGACCCACTGTGAAGATTTCGTGTATTAAATCTTCAGTACAAATAATGTTCTTACGACCTGAAATAACGAGTTTTTATTAGATTTTTTAGATTTAAACCGATTATAAATAATCAATTTTTTACACAAAAACTGTATGAAAATTTAGAGTCACAAATTATATTAATGTGTCACAAGTTAAATATTCATTTAATTTTTGATGATATGGAAAGGTACACTAAATGACGAAGTCAATGCACCAATGGAGTCATCAACTTCTGGGTAAAACAAAATTGAAGTGGGATACTTACTTAGCATTTTTTCGATGATAGCATTGCTCGTTATTGGGATTCTTTGCTTGTTAATCTTGGCAAAACCTCTTTTGTATACAAGTTCTCGCACTGATTTCAAATTAGGATATCCCCAAGTGATGTATGGCTCAATAATACGTAGCATATTAATGGTAGCTTTGTTCAATTTGACGAAAACTCCATTATTAATCTGTCGCAATCTGAACAACTGAAGAACTTTACGAACTTTGGGTGCCACTTGGTTAACACTAAAATCAAATAGAAGTTCGTTTAATAAGTGAAAAATAGACAGTAAAAAAAAACAAAGAATATTCCAATTGCCAAACATTAGCTTACCCTCGAATACGTATAACAAAAGCCAACTTAGCTTCTCCAGGAATGTAATAATTTCCTTGCTTTTTGGCTTCTCTGATTAATCTAATTTCATCTCGTTCTTTTAGTTTATACTCCTTGGCATACGACTCTGCTCTTCTGAAAATTGTCTTCCTCTTTTTGTACTTGTTGACACGGCGCTGAAATAAAATAACTCGTTTAATCAGGCACACTCCAAAAAAAGACTGACGTATAATAAACTAGCATAAGCACATGTATATTAACAATACCTTGAGGGCAGTCGCTAAACGGGCGGCCTTTGCGGTCTCGCGACGCTTTCTCCTCTTCAGGACCGACTCTGGGACCGCAGGCAACTTCTTGGAGCCCTCTGCAGCTGGTTTGGCTTCCTTAGGTTTACTGTAATACATGAAAAATATCGTTACAGTGGTTAAGTATCGCTGATGTTTTACTGCTACAACATCACAATCTCTTGAAAGTAAAGCTTAACAGACGAAGCATGTATATTTACGTTTGACCAGACAGCAAAAAATGTCAAGCCACATATTATTAGAGATGATCATTCGAATCAAAACGTAAAAAAAAAAATGATAAAGAATGTTTTAAGAGCATCGCTGTCAAGTGGGGTTACGTTGGCGATACATTTAACTTGACATTTGTCCGGTTACACGAAAAATATTTGATAACCCGGATAGAATACCACCAAAAGAATAACTTTGAACTAATTAAAAAGTACATGATTAAACAAAAACAACGATGTCAGTGGATTTTACGAGGAGTTAAAAAATTACTTACGCAGTCGGCGCCATCGTGCTTTAGGGAAGGAAAGAATGAACTGGGGCGCCGCGGCGAATATGCGAACAGTGAACGTGAACTAAAGTGTATAGGTATAGTCCATCTTCAAGGATCGAAGTAAGATGACAACACCAACAGCCTATAGTACACCTGTATCAGTGTATCTATGCTTTGACACAAATGTCGGACGTAGCTTATTCGTGTGTAAATCTCATGGATTGTGTCAACCAATCAATTACTGTCCTACGTTTGTCCACCCATGCATTTCCTCCCTTCTCCCTTTAAGCTACAACCAATCAACACACAGGACATGACACACTAGTGTGTTTTGCAGACAGCCTGCAATCAGCTGCTGGAAAAAATTAATTAAATGAAATTGTATAATAAGTACATGTACATCATATAAAGCACTTTATACTGTACATGTAGTACTTTTGTAGTGGTCAAAATAAACCATACAAAGCTTTATTAATTAATAATTGAGAAAAATGGTTGAATCAGACGACGACGTACCTCAATTGCGTGCGGACTCGTTGGCTGCTTTAAAAGAATTTTATCAGGAAAAAGTTGAACGAGAATGTAAATTTAAAAAACTTTTGGAGCAAAGTGAAAAAGATTTCGAAGTTGAATTTGAAGAAAACTGGGTGCGTTTGTGTGTGCCAGAGAAAATAAATCAAGCTCATGGTACTTATTTATGTTTTTTTTTTTTTTTTTTCAGCAATTAAGTCAGTTTTGGTATGACGAAAAAACTGTTGAGACTATGACAAAAGGCATTGTAAAGTGTACTGAAAACCATGCGAGAATCGGATTGATTTCATGTCCAACGTTGTACAAAGCTTTAATAAAAATAGCTGGAAATAGACAAGGTATTCACACAAAATTATAGATAAATACATATTAACTACTTATTTTTGATAATAACTTTGCAGTAAAAATATTTGAATTTGATGAGCGCTTCTCCGTTTTTGGATCCGACTTTATTCTTTATGATTACAAGAACCCTTTGAATGTTCCTGATGATTTGCATGAATCATTTGATCTTGTTGTTTGTGATCCACCTTTCCTTTCAGAGGAGTGCTTGACAAATGTAGCCAGTACAATAAAACTTCTGACTAAAAAGAACGTTATTCTCTGCTCAGGTTTGTAAATAAATGAATAAATTAATAGTTTTTTTTTAATAATTTGATACTATTATTATTTTTTCAGGTTCTGTGATGCAAGATTTAGCAGAAAAATTGCTGGCTCTCAAAAAATGTAACTTTCAACCACATCATAAAAACAATTTAGCCAACGAATTTTGGTGCTATTCAAATTTCGATCTCGATAAATATTTGGACTGATTTGTACAGTAATGTCAATTATGCAATTGTTAATTGACTTGCCAGGAAAAAACTGTGATATGTTAAGGGTTCTACGACTTTGTCATAATAACTCGTTTCATTGTTAATTAATAATACAATATTTTTTTAACAGTTTGTATTTTTTTTCAAATACATGCTACGTAATAAACAAATACTACGCTTTAATTTTTAAATATAAATTAATATTTTGTCCTACATAATATCCATCAGCCAATAAAGAAGCGCGTGACAACAGGCGTAGCCAGTGTAGCCTTACTGCAGTGCAGGGTATGTTTTGTTTGATATACATATACATACACATACTGCATCTGCAGTTCTGTACTCATAAGTACCTACTAAGGTAGTGTGCACGCAATGCACGGTTGTAAATATTTACGTTCTTTAAGTTTCGAATAAATATTTTTAGTAGTTTTTCGTTTGGGAAAAAAAAATGATCGACGATAATATATCCATGGAAGAGGATACCGAATTACGGGAGTTGGTCGTACAGACGCTCGAGAATAATGGAGTCCTTGCCAAAGTTCGAGTAGGTGTCTTGATTACTTGTATTTTAGGTTAATTTTGGACAACTAACTTTACTGCATAAGTACCTTTTTGTTCCTATTAGGAATAACACCTTCTTTATTTTTTTGTACCTTTTTATTAGTGAATATATCTTTATTTTTATTTTACACTTTTAGGCAGAATTGAGAGCGAGTGTGTTCCTAACTTTAGAAGAACAAGAATCCGTACTGGTGAGTACTTGGATAAAATGGAATTTCGAATCGTAACAGTAAAATAAAAATCTGTTTAAACCATTTGAACGTCTTATTTTATTACCATACTCAATTGGATTTTGAATGTGTATCTCATTGCGTTATATTTTTTTGATTAAATAATTATTTATGACTGCAGAATCCTGAGCCATTTTTGAACAAATCAGTAAAGCAGTACCTGTCAAGTTCACAAGGAAAAATTTTGTTTTCGTTAGTCAGAGAGTTCCTAGAGTACTTTGGTCTTGATTATACAATGTCAGTGTATGATCCTGAAACATACTGTGGTAAAGAATACAATTACATGGGTAGACAAAAACTCAGCGAAGAGTTTGGAATTGATTCTAAAGAACCATTACTTGGTGAACTATTGAAAAATATTTTAAATAGTGCCTTAAACCATTCGCATAAATTAGTGGTACATTTCTCAAAGTTTTATGTACATATGTAATTTTTTAATTATTTTTTATGGTATAATGGATTTCTTTTTTCTAGAAAAAATCCTACATTAATGAGCCACCAACGCCTGATAGGAGCACAGAAAAAGTAGAAAATGTTACCTTTGATGTCAGTGTTCCAACAGTTTCACAAAAAGAATCAATTTCCAATTGTAATCTTAGCATAGAGGAAGCAGAAAGCGAATCTGGTTCTAACATGGAGATGCCTATTAATGTGACAATAAAAAAAAAACAAAATGACGATGCAACTAACAAAAAAGCTACTGATAATTTAGTTTCTACAATATCCAAGCCTTCAACTTACGAAATTAATAGGAATTTAAAGCAACACAGAGAGAAAGACCATTTACTCGAAAATGTCACTTATCAAAGTAACAGTTTAAAAGATCAAATTAATTCAAATATTAATTGTACAGCAGATAACCAATCAGATGTAACCACGAATCAAGAAACTCATCAAAACAAGATAAGCCTCATGGAATTTCATACAGCAAATAACTTAAGGAATATAAAACAAGCTGAATCATCGAAAAAAACAGGGAAAACTATTTTTTTTGACGAAATAATTGTAGATGGGGTGAAGGAGAAACTCCCAGAAGCTAAAGATGACAAATTGTTACTAGATAACTTGCCACCACTGCCAATTTCCAATAATTCAATATTTGGTGATCTACCACCATTGAATGGTAAAAAAGCTAATATAGATGACTTGAAAGAAATTTTAGACATGGGTAACTTTGATGCTGAGTGATTTTCATCCTTAATATTTATGTGCCATATCATTTTTTATTAAACACATAATTTCTTTAGCTGAAGGTGTTTCTTACAACGAGGAAGATTTGTCATCAGCATCTGGTAGTGCCAGTGATCAGAGCCCTCAAAAAGAAAAGTTTACCTCTAAAAGTCCAGAAACTTACATAAATAAACAATATGTTCTAAGTGAAAATGAAAGTGAAGAAATAGATGAAGAAATATGCAGTAATACCTCTTGCGTAAGTCTTAGTTTTACTAAAAATGTTTAATATAAGATCTTTTTTGTTATATATATTATTTACTATCTTCCAGCTTGACAATTCACCAGAAAAAACCGATAAAATAATCGTTGTTGACTCTAATTATCACAAAAACTAAACTTGATATAAAACTATTGAGTCAACTGGAAGAGAACGTTCAAAAATGCAAATAAGCCTTAAATTGTTATTGTTTTTATAATAAAATAGTTAAATCAATGTTTTATAAATTTATAGAACAATCACAACTAAAACATGGTTTTGAAAAAAAACTACACATAAGTGATTATGTACATGAAACAGCACACATTTAATTCAGAGTGTATACAATATTTTTGTATGTTTTCAATTGACTAAAACAAACCTGATTTTTTTTTTTTTAATGAACTGCAAAATTGTTTTTTAGTGATTTTTACACTGCTGTAAAGCACCATTATTTTATTGACTTATTTACGTGGAGTATATGTAAAAATGCTTTGTAATTAAAATAGTCATAGAAATTATTATATCTTTAGTATTTAAATTTTTGTAAGTGTATACAAATTTTTATTTTAAAATTACTGTGTAATTACTTAGTACCCTTGTTAATCACATTTCGATAACTTTTGTATCAAATAAATATTATTTATTCTTAATTGGTCAACATTTAATTTTTTTACTATACATCCCTGCAATGTATAACACAATTTTTAAGTAGGAATGAAGTTTTGCAATGACAGTATCATAGTTACCATAATTTGACAGAAACAGTTTATTTACAAGCTTACTGTTGTACAATTAAAAAAATCTAGTAACTTGATAATTATTTCTTCCAACAAGCATTTTGGTTTGTGTTAACTTTCAACTCAGTAATTTCAGTTGACTTAATTTTTTATAAGCCTTAGATTACAAATCTTTATGTATAAAATATAACGTGTAATATTTTACTAACAAATAATCTATTAGATTCAATTCCTTTCTAATTGTATTCGTTTTGTGTATGCTTTAGAAACACTATTATAGGTGTCTATGTATCGATCCATACACATAGCTAGACATTTCTGTAAAAAATATAATCATCACTTTAAGACTATAGATTTCCTTTTGAAAATATTGAAGCATTCAATAAAGATAATATGCAGTGCCTTACTTGTTCAGAATTATCCAAGCTTGTGCCAGGTTTTGAAATGCAGACCTTGAAGCATTTTTCTGAGATTTTCTGAAAGTTAGTTTTTTGTAACACCAAAATACAATTTTCTCATACAACTAAGGAAATTTAATTCATGTGATAAATGTAATTACTGTAAGCAGTTCTTGAAAATTAGCTATGGCAAATTCTTGCTTTACTTGATCCATTAGTTCATCTTTCTGAGCACCGGTCAATGTCGAACTTCCTGAAGAATCCATTTTTCTCTCTTGCTATGGTTGATAAAATATTACGTACCAAGACCTTTTTGGGGTTTACAAATAACTTTACTGGAAAAATTATAATTAACTGAATTGTTTGATCATCCTTCACATTTTAATAAATAACAATAAGAATTGCGAAGAAATAAGGAAAAAAAATTGCGTTCGCTAAGTTTTTTTTTTTAGTTATTAAAAAAGTATCACAGATTTACTTAAGAAAGTACGATGTACAAATGTACTTTGAGGGCACTTCATAAACTTACTAAGATGATTCGTTGGTTTTGAAAAGTTACTTTCTCATCTAAACTTAACCAATCGACGGAAAAATAAAATTCAAAAATAAATTATACGACTTATTTAATATGACGAAACTATGTGACAAAATTTTAAAGATAAGTAAGTAAATTTTAGTCACACGCTCGCTAGCACATTGCTTCGGAGTCTGGATCCTAACCTGTACTGAACACAACACCGGCCTACAATGTGTGATATAACACATCGAATTTGTGACGCGTGACACGAATGACAGACTTTCGTCAATACTTAAGTATATATAGGTACTTAGTTCTCATAAAAAAAAAAAAAAACATTACTGTTCATCCAAGTATACCGATTCAAGAATAATTTATAAAATAAATACGGCTGCAGTTATCACTTACCATGGGAAAAACATCAAAAGACAAGCGAGACATTTATTACAGAAAAGCAAAAGAGCAAGGTTGGAGAGCAAGAAGTGCATTTAAATTACTGCAAATTGATGATGAATTCAAGATCTTTAATGGTCAGTTACTTACGAACTAAGGATTATTCTTTATTCGTTGCATTGTAGGTAGTTAGTAGTTGTTGAATTTTTTAAATATTTGCAGGTGTAACCAAAGCTGTAGATTTGTGTGCAGCACCAGGAAGTTGGAGTCAAGTGTTGTCTCGAAGGCTCAAGTAAGAATTCGGAAAGGACGTTGCACTCAGTATACAAGAAATTTAATTTAACTCATTTTTTCCAGTCAAAACTATGAGAATGTTAAGGAGACCTCCAACAATGCAGTAGCTCCAAAAATCATAGCTGTTGATCTCCAAGCAATGGCTCCAATAGAAGGTGTTGTTCAAATTCAAGGAGATATAACAAACGTTAACACTGCTGAGCAAATAATTTCTCATTTTGGCAATGAGCATGCAGATCTTGTTGTGTGCGATGGTGCTCCTGATGGTAAATTTCACACAATGTATAAAAGGTTAAGAAATTATTTGGAGTGTGATTGAAATAATTTTTTTCACAGTCACAGGTTTACATGACATGGATGTGTACATTCAATCCCAACTATTATTGGCTGCACTGAAAATCACAACTCAGATATTAAAACCAAAGGGCACATTTGTAGCAAAAATATTTAGGGCCAAGGATGCATCTCTCTTGTATTCACAGTTGAAAATATTTTTCACATCTGTCAAGTGTGCCAAACCACTCAGTTCAAGAAACTCGAGTTTCGAAGCGTTTGTTGTTTGCAAAGACTTCTCTCCACCAGAAGGTTTTGAGCCATCATCGTTGAATCCTCAACTAACAAATTTTAGTAGTTTGACAGGAGTCAACAGATACGTTGCTCCATTTGTCATATGTGGAGATTTAAGTCAACCAGACTCTGATACAACGTATCCACTAGATGTAAGAAATCATACCATGATTATTTTTGTATTATTTTCAATTTTTACTAGAGAAAAGTATCCAAATCATATGAATGTTCTTTTAGTTTGAAGGGAAGAAATTTCAGTATTGTGAACCAATTCAGAAGCCTATCAGTCCGCCGTATGAAGAGGCAATGGCTTTTTTAAGTATCACAAATCTTGGAAAGGATCCAGCCAGTATTACTTTACAAGGTTCCAAGAGCAAGACGATTGCTGAAGTAATTGCTGACCAAAAAACGAAGAAAACATCCAATTGAATAACGATTACGTTCTTTATTATAAGTATTATTTAAATGTATACACAACAATAGCATACAAAAATATAAGTTTATATTTTATTAATAGCTTGTACAAATGTATTTAATTAGTATTTTATCCTCATGTAGCTCCAAAATTGTACAATCAACTTTTAATTGGAATATTTATTACACAGTATACACATTACAAAACAATGATTCAAAAATATACAAAATTTTAATAAATAACATTGCATGTTCAATGGCTTTTATTGTGGTACGTAAACAAAAAAAAGAATAAGTTGGACACAAAAGGATTTAAATAATTTTTCAAAAGAGAACACAATAATGCGCAAATATACAGCCATTCAAATAACTGAAAAAAAATTTTTTTTGTGATAGGCAATAGGGGGTTCTAAATCCCCAAATGTAGCATACGAGTAAATAATAGTAACATAAAGTTATGTCGAACGTGCTTGGCGCGATCTGCCTTATTGTGGATAATTTTTATCTAACTTTTATATTATTCAATAAGCATACCACACTATATATAAGAAGCACACAACTTTGTTAATTTTTTTTTTTTTTTTTGTAACATTTATGTCACCAATTATTACACCAAAAATCTTTTTTTTAAAGACGATTTTCATTTTTAATGCCATATTGTCACTTGAATGGTTCAGTATTAACGTAAAAATATTTTATTTTTATTTTTTTCATACATGCGACGTAGTATGTTTTTGTAAAGGATATTCCAAATCAAGTTATATTACTTTTAGTTACATTTGTTAAATGAACTAACTATACATTTTAATATTCTTTTGGCAATTTAATGCAATTGATCTTTGAAAAATCCCATCAAACATTTCACTCGATCGGTTTCAACCAATCACACAACGAATAAAAAGGCACCGATTGCCACGTGGTAATAATAAATTTTTTTTTAACGCACAAATCGAAATGAACTGCACGGGCAAAAAAATTAGTCACAGTAGGCCTTTGTGGTGGCAGATGCAATTTAAACGATTGCGTCGCACTTTAACTAAACTCTGTTTCGATTTCATTCGCTCATTCTGTGGGATAAGCTTAATATACATATGTTTTCTGACATTGCAAAAAAAAAAAAAAAAAAAAAACTGTCAACTGTACCTCATTTACATTACATTCATTTAACAGAATGGCAAAGAAAGGTGTGAATCACCATGTAAAAGTATTATACGAATAAGAAAGGAAAAGATTTTTCGAAATGCAGCAAACAAGCTGTTGATGATGAATTTATAACCACTTTAAAACGCGGGTTCAATGCTGAAATGAAAATCATGAAAACGCATGTTGTTGATGGTACAGCCAACTATTAACATAATGTCACGAAAAATCAAGCGCGTATGTATATTTGTTCACTTGCAAGCTCGTCCATGTTTCGACTAATTCCCATAAAATCAAATGAAAAAGGTGTTCGAAGCATGTAATCTATCAATACATAAGCTACACACACACGGAGGGCGCTGAAAAGGAATAAATTAGCTTACTCGGGAGGAAAAATGTTAGGTATACAAAAACATAAAGTACGAAGGCAAGAAAGGAAAATATTTCACCGGCTAAGCGATGAGATGAGCCGCGATGTATATCCGGGCCGTCAAGTGCAGCTCGAGCTTTTCGAGCCCCAGTGAGAAATAAAATCAAGCCATTAATGTCCTGTTCGGGTAATACAGCACACGGAAAAGACTAACTTTTTCTTCAACGACGGTATTTTATACACAGCGCTGCTTGTTAATGTGTACGTATAATATATATAGATGTGCAATGTATATATCATGCACCGTTCTTTTTCCTTCATGTGGGTAGTATACCTATAACCTATATATACCTACCTATAGCTGTGGGGGCTGCGCGTATACAAAAAGTTTTATCGCCTCCGCTGGATGTGTATGCATGGACTCGCGGAAATTGGGGGCTGCAAAAGGTATACTCGGTTCCGCGAGTAAAGTAAACTTTCCTCCTTCCCATTCGAGTCCTATACGTTATACCTATTGTCAAGCGTCAGCGGCGCAGTGCTAATTACGTCGCTAACCCGATTTCGAGAGTTGGCCACCGCCGCCAACAGCTTCTCTCTCCCCCCCCCCCCTTCGTGTCGCTGTCGCTGTTGCGCCGTACCTGCACTACTGCGAGCATCAACAACGCCGGCGCTCTTTATCCGGTCTGGCGGTCTCCCGTTTCGCCGTACGTTTACTCGGACTACTGGGACTTCTTTTCATACGTATACACTCTGCTTGCACGTGCCGTGCGTACACCTATAGGTATACAAAAGCTCTCTTTGTCAGCCCAAAACCTATCCCAATTGGTTGTTATCACGACTACGGAACTTGATGTTTAAACATGGTTTATTCATGGCCAACAAAGTATCACTGACATACAATAATAATTTTACCAATGAGTCCGTTCAACATCAAATGAATTGCAAACATTGCAAGATAAACAGTATATACCTATGAGCTCAAAAGAGGAGCTGAGTGAGAAGAATGAGATAATCGACCGCTTGTCAATTTTACAGAGGCTGTAATCACCCCCTCGTTTCGCTCTTGTATTTTCTCTCGCTCACGGCCTCTTTAGAGAGTATACGAAATCAAATAGGCCCTTGGGCCGTCGCACTGCTCGTACAGACCACGAGAGCACCGTGGGGGGCCATTATACCCGCCACGTATAGCCGTAACTTTTTCAACGCAAAAGTCCAATTTATCAATTTGTCTCGCTATTAAATGGAGTTTCCTTGTCATTTGCCGCGCAGAAAAATAACCACGCGTATGAGCGCCGAAGGTGACATCGATTAAATATATTCATCGCGCTGTCACGGACCATTTCTTCCCTTCGATTCACTATCGATAGCTGTTGTTTTTCTATTATATTCCACTCTCTCTCTCTCTCTCCGTAAAAATCGGCGAGTATATTCCATCGGCCTTGGCTCGCTTGCGAACTTTTTCAAGCACACGCGAGAAATCATCCCTCGGTCTACATCCGTAATGTACAGTTGCATTGCAATGGTACCCATCAAGAGTCAACGATGAACGCGATCAAAGGTAATAATCGTTTAAGAAAAGGGTATATCCATGTATTGTCGGCAACGCTACGAAACATGTACCTACAAAGTGACGGTTGGACGCAAAAAAAAAAAAAAAAAAAGAAACGCGAGCAAAAGCACAGACTAATCGCAGCTATTATATTTATACAATAGACCGGTCTATGTATATATGTAAACGTACTTTGATTACAAGCGGCGCGAGCCGAGAGTAGAGAGAGACTCTGTTTATCCAAACGAAGCCCGGCTCGGTTGGCGCACTTATTATTGTACTGCAGGTTGGACGATCGCTCTTTTTGCGTTATTCCACGCGCGCATACATATATACGTATACATCGTTCGACATCTATGTGCATGTAAAGCATTTGTACGGGAAGGGGGTGGGTGCAGGGTATACATCACATTACGGCTGCAAAGTCGCAATACATCCTCAGGCTCGGGTTATCGTTCGCCTCTCGGCTGCGCTAAATGTGCTTTATTCTTTTTTCCCGTGCGCGGAATGGTCTCGTATAGGCCAAGCATATATAAGCACACAGGAGCAAAGTATACTTACCCAAGTTGTTGTTTGGCTTTTACACACGGCTTGTACGCACGCACACCCTCCCGGGCCTCCGTTTTCCGCCGCCATTGTTTACCCCCCCCCCCCGGGTTATTGCGCGGGGCCGCCGGCTTGTTCGATCGTTATTTATTCACTTGTTATCGTAGTTAAAAATTATTGCCGTGCTCGCCTCTGGGCGTCAGCTTTTACCCTTTATTCCCTCCCCGAGATTTGCCTCGTGCACGCGTACAACGTAAAATTACTTACTTACTTCACCCCAACCCCCTTTCCCGAGGCTCGCTTTCGCAATATACTTTACATGCCACGCTCTATATAACATATATGTATATAGTTGAAAGAAAGATTTGCTCAACGAAATGTCAAGGCAGCCGGTAAGAAAATCTTAATTTGCTTGCCGGTGAAACACATCATCATTATTATTATTATTATTATTATTATTATTATTGTGAAAAATATTTTATTTACTGCACTCCCAATTTTTGCGTTTGTCAAAAATAGAGTTTTTTCACTTCTCCCCGCGTTTTATAAATATATTATCTTTGCGAGCGGAACCTTTTTTTTGTATAATTTTGGACTCTCAAAACTGTATACGAGTTTTTTTTTTGTTTTTGTTTTTGTCTTCAGTAACGAAGCAAAGATATAGGCATAACGTCTCAAGCGGTAGGTATATATGTCTATTACATATACATATATTGACAAATATACACCTATATTAAAATTCTTTTGTTTTGCGTTGTATATACTTATGTCATATGCAAATGTAATATACTTACACACGAAAGCTATTATTTAACGATCGGTAACGACAACGACACGTTTTTACACACATAATAGGACGCACGCGTATATATATATACTATAGGCCTCGAAAATTGTGTACACGCAAAGAGCGAGAACAACAACAACAACAGTAAGTAGTGGCAATAAGCAAAAGAGGCGTCGTGTTGTTACGAGTTTTTAGAGGTTTTATCGAACTTGTACACGCGATACATCGGGGAGTAAGGATGGATCTCGCCGTCGCTGTCTCCCTCGTCCCCGGTCGGGTCGTCCCTGTCCGGCTTGGAGGATCGATAGGTCTGGCTCCTTTCGTAAAGCCGCTCCTCGCTCGCTGATGTGCACCACACGACAAACGATACACATATTTATATGCTATACTCAATGAAAAACATATCCCAACTTGCGGATGAAAATCGCGCGTGTGTGTGTGTGTATGTACTCACGCGTCGAGCCACTGGTGGGCCGGCCCAGCGGGTCCTCGTAGTTGTCGAGGGGCACGGTGCCAATGACAATCTCCGTCCGGATCTTGGGATTCTTCTGGAGCATCCGGTAGTACCACTCGCCGAGATCGACGCACGCCTCGACCTTGAGGGCGTAGCGCACGTCGATGATGCCGCAGTAGTTGGCGCCGCTCGGGGGCACCGAGGGCATGTCCAGGTACTCCCTGATCGTTTGCTCCCTGCCCTCGACCGGCAACTCGATCTCCACGACGATCTCCTTGTGCCGCCTCGACTTGCTCACCTCCTTCACGTGGTACGTCGCCACCTGTGTATACATTATATACTTGTACATTGTGCATAATTATATACAAGCGTATAAATGGTAAAAATGTACCTTTTTGAGGACTATGCGTATCTTGGCGACGCGCACGTTGGACTCGTTCTTCAGGCTGATCAGCAAGGGGACGGTTTGGCCCGGCACGAAGCCGCGCACGGGCAGCGACAGCTCCATCCACAGGGGCTCCCTTTGACCGATGAACCTTTTCGTCTGGCTCTCGCTGATCGGTAGCTTCACATTTCCACCAATACATGTAATATATATATATGTTATTAGGTACACGTGGCGAAAGAACCGACAGATAAATGATGGATTCGCTCATCCATGTTTGACGATCCGGATGTCTTCGGGAATGTAATAATACGAGCCCGTGGAGCCAATACTCCCTGTAATATGCATGTCGTCCGACACATTTTGGGACATTTTATGAACTTATTTGACAAGACGGAGAAACAGCTTCTTCTGGGGGCTGTGGAATCTCCTGATAGCTATACATGTTTACAAGCTATCGGAGAGACGGAGATCTGGTGTACCAAAAGTAATGCTCGCCACGGATTAATATTGCAGGGAAAACGGCTGTCTTCGTTTAACGAGGTATTGAGTAAAAGAGAGAAAAAAAAAATTCACTTTTCTCGCGTATACGTATATGTATAGTAATAATAATAATATAGTCGGGGTTAAACACTGCACCGTCAAGCGTGAATTCTCTTTTCTCGGGGCTAAAAATTCTTCTCTCCAAGTTCTTTTCCGAGTATACATATGTAGGTACGGACGACGTTTTTCCGAGCACATATATATATATATATGTGTACTTACGCGGGAGGAAAAGTACACAGCCACACGTACAGCGCGCCATAAGCCGCGGGTAAAAAGCTTTTTCTTGATAACTCGGTTGAGCTCTCATCCCGTGCACCTACACGTATAACATGTGAGAAAAAGTTGCACCAACATTTTAAGAAAAATCCCGTTGCGTATACATGTTCCACAGCTATTTTTTCAAACAAGACAATGTTAAACATGAAAAAACAAAAACAAAAAACATCAGAAAGAATGAAGGCAAAATAAATGCATTTGAGGTCTTGCGATACTTTCCCCTTTATGAGAAAAGAAACAGCGTATATGATATCATACAGTCACTCGCCCCACTATGTACAGTGAACAGTATCCAAGCGAGGGGGTGTTGAAATACCAGCCCGAGACTTTTATATGTATATACATATTATGAGACGTATTGTACTTGTATACGCGGTTGGGTTGACTCACCGGCGCCAGAGAGTCCCGATTGAGATCGACCGTCGAGACGAGGCTGAAGGGCAGCACTTGCGAGTGAAAGACGACGTCCCGAGCCACGACGAGGCTGGCCCTTATAGAGTAGCGAATCCTACCGTACAGTCCCTCGAAGCTACATGGCACCTTATCAGGTAACTCGAGGCTGAAGGAGTAGTCACAGCTACCGGTCACCTCGACCCGGCTCGACGACTCACCGTCTACGCGAGTCAACAAACCCTATATATTATACGTGTTTCTTTTCTTTTTTTTTTTTTCCTCCATCGTTACGTAAATATAAATCACACACTTACCGCCAAAGATATAGGGCTCGAGGTGCAAGTAGCCCTCCTCGGCTGCGAATTTTCGCCGGATGCCGGCTGACCGGTCGGTGAAGCGCACTCGCGCTTCCCCCTTGCACCTCACGCAAATCCCTGAAAAAAAATTTAAAAAAAACGGCACTTGTCGACATCATCGGTTGCATTGAAAATATATATAGTATATATATAAAAAAAAACCGAGAAATAGGAGGGTGCAACTCATAGCGAGGGACATTGGATTGGTATTACCTAGAGCATCGATCGGCGCCCGCAGCCTCAGCCGGACGCACCCGGTGACCGTTTTCCCGGCTACAAACACTCCGTTGGCGTTATCGAGGACCACGTCGATGCGCTCGAGGCCGTAGCTGAAAAAACAACCCCCCCGAGGGTGAGGGTAAAAAAAATGCAATGGGGTTAAAATGTGCCGATACAACCTCGCGGGATCGGGCCCCGTGGCTGGTGCCATTTCGCTCTCGGGGTCCATTGGCGTCCCGTGACTTTGCGCGCACACAAGTGGAAATTCAACGAGTCACTCGAGGTGGTTCACGCGAGGGCAGGCACGAGCACACTACCATCCGCGCGCATCAGGGCATATACGCAAAGCACGAGGATTAAGGAAACGTTTTGTCGACTATACGGCAACGGTATAACGACGAAAAATCCAAAATTCAAGGGAGCGCAGGCGCGTGCCGATATCTAGTAGATCTAGGCGGTCGTGGAGCGGCGACGGTAAGGCGAGAACGCGTGTATCCTCGTATATAGTGAGCTGTTCAATTGTACCCCAAGGAGAGGGGATGGCTGATGCGTGGCACTGGTGCTCTGCTTTTTCTCCTTCTCCGCGTATATATTTATACTTACTTATCTCTCGCGTTATTCGAAATGTGTGATGCGGTGGCCTCGAGCTCGTATATATACTTAGCCGCGTGTTTTTCTCTCCTCGGCCTTGGACCCTATACCTCGGATCAACTCGCATACCTAACTATTTTTCCCTTTTTTTTGTTTATACCCTTTGGAGATTTTAATGATTTATAATTTACATCGTTGACTATACAAATTGATCGATCGACTGACGGGGGTTGATTTGTCTTTCTTTTCCACGCGTATCTCGTTACTCCCAAGTACATTATATGTATAGCATTTCAATCTTTTTGATATAAAATTATTGATATACGTGATTGATGTTTGTTGAAAACAACTGGCCCTCCCAATGGAAATCAACTCATTTTCAATGATATGAAAAACAACATACAATAGCTCTTTTTTGATGTGCAATTATATTAAATGACGTTTTACCTACACCAACATCCTGATTTTTGCTAGTATCGAGTTGTGCCGTCACATAAAACACAAATGTAAAACCGATGAAATACGGTTTTTCCATGACAAGATGAAGTTCTAGCTCCCCCGAGCGTAAAAGTAAGCAATACGAGTAAAAATATACGATGTAATGAGATACGCGAGCATCAAGTATCTCATATATCGCTCTAAATTTAAATGTATACATGTATATCGCGTGCAAATGTAGAGAGAGAGAAAATCTGTATACGTATTTGTATCGTGTCATCGAGCAATAAATTGTAGGAATACACCCATAAATATACATATTATAACGTGTATAGGTGTATACGTGCATTGTGCGGATCGAACCGTCAATCAAGATAGGCAAAGAGAGCAGAGGGAAATTAATTGTGTCGTCCCCTTCTTCGCTTCTCTTCCATTGTCGAAACCTGTGAGTATACTCTATATTGCGACTGTACACATAATATGTATAGAGGTTTCGCATTGTCGTGTCACAGGGGAGGAAATGAATTCGCGTGATTGGGGAGGGGGCGCGCTCTCGAAAGTCGATTTTTGCGGTTCCGCGCTAGTTAGTTTGATTAAAATAACGCACACGGGGAGGGGCGAAACTTTTTTCGCGTTAATTAACCCGACGACGGTTGAATCCGATGATGCTTCATCGACACTTTTTAATTATCTGCATCTCTATGTGTATACTTTGTTCCTCCTCTCGTGTCGCCAACTGAACCACCTTTACCGCGTTACCACGTTTTTTTGCTTTTCTCCCCGTGTAGACTCTGGATTATTAAAATTAGTTCCAAATTTCAACGCATTAATATTTAATGGAATACTCATACAGAGTTTATTAAAATTCGAAAGCAAAAACTACATCTTTGTTGTGCACCAACATTCTAGTACATAAATAAAACACGATTGGGACGTTAACTTGTGACCAGAACCAAAAGTTTGTCCATTCGTATACAGTAAAAAAAAAAAGAATAATTTTTAGTAATTCAGAGTAACAGGATACAACTAATTGTAGAGAAAACGTTTTTTACACGTTATATTTAAATATAAATCCACGCAATTATGTACACAAAATAAAGCCTCTCGCATTTTTGGATCAAAGTTATTTATTAATTTAACAATGTGTAGTTACACTTTTCAACTGAGTAAAAATATATAAGTACCTATTTTGTCAACACTACGGACAAGTGCGATACAAAAGAGACTGATGCATGTATGCGTCTGTGTGTGTGTGTAGGTACATATACACATTAGAGCCCTTTTAACAAATCTACAGGGAAACAAACAGTGTCCAGTTACATCAGCAACATTTCCAAATCACCAGAGGTTGCGAAAAAGGAAAAGGGACAGGCGGAAGGGGTTGGACCGTGACACGTCTGGCGTAGCCAAATTGGCGAAAATCGCCCTCGTTTTTCCTGAGCCGCTGATTTATAGTCGACGCGAGAGCCTCTCCCCCGAGAGAGAAGGAGCTAACTATACACATGCAGAACAACAGCCATACACCATCAGCGGTGGCACTGTAGCAGTATGGAGTGGAATGGTACTTTCAAGCCCGAATAATAATAGTTTCTTGTAGTTCCGCCGGACACCGAGGCCAATCCCATAAATTTCAATGACAATAATTATTTGCCTGCTCGCCCTTCCCCTGGAGGCCCGCCGTGTCTCTCTCCCCCCCACCCCTTCATTCATCCGTTTCCTATGCACGCAAAAGACGAATTTGCGCGAGATGTTTTTTTTTTTTTTTCCCCCGCCACTGCAATTCTCGGGCTATATACAATCGATACACTGCTTCAATAATGAAATTACCTCATGAATGACGTTTTTTATTTTATTTTTTTTAAAACATCAATGTAAAAACAATAATAATTTTGTTTACTCAGATTACAAACAATTATATAAATAGATTATCAAAACTCTACTAAAAGCACAACAAAAATTCAGTCACAACCCTGTCGATGGATATGACACTTCACCGATGAAACTAGATATTTTGTGTAATCAATGTTTTTTAAATGAACCAACAATTACATCTAAGCCATGGACCATCAAAAGTTGTGTAGGAGTTACATAAAATATAGTGATTGCCTACAGTCACGAGAAATGTACATTAGCCGCTTAGCGGGCTAATTGCCTCGTCCGGGTGATGGACGATCATGATGTTAACGAAGCGAGCGACGAATTGTCATGCTTCGTTAGACGATCAACGAGCAAATAATTAGCAACGAGCCTCGCTCGCGACTACAGAGCACGAATGTTCCCGGCACCGAGTGCGCGGGCTCTCACCCCTATTTCCATTTTTCATTTGGCAAAGAGCCGCTCTCTGTCTCGGCCGATTTACCGGGCGCGTTTGCTGATGCTTCTCCAACTTTTACGCTTCCGTGCAGATGGATTGACCGGTCCGATGCAGCTGCTGGCGATCACAAGCGCTTGAAAAACTGATTCCTCATGTTTATTTCAGCAATTTACGAAGCACCCGGGCTCTCGGTCTAGTTTTGTTTGTTGTGCTCTTTTCAGCTCGAGGAGGCAGCGGGTTCAGGTAAATTAGAAATTCCACTTGCTCTTTTCAACTGCTATGGTTTATTCCTTGATGCATACTTTTGTATGTTTTTACAAAATCGGGCTACAAACAACTTGCTACATACAGCACTTAAAAATTAAAAAAACTTGTTAATTATCATACAAAACTTATTAAAAAAAAGTATAAAACATAGAGAGCATAATTGTTAATCAGCGTTGGGGTTCGTTACATGATTGTGGGTGTTTAATATATGGGCAACGGAAACTATTGTACAAAAAAAGAATAATGTTCAGAAAAAGGGCATGCAAGGTAAGGATCTATGCTATCACAATTTAAAAATTATGATTAAAATGTATATGGTAAATAGAAAAAAAAAGTTTAAAACCTGTTTGAGTACTTTAAATGAAACAGATTTAAAACAAGATCAAGATAGTCAAAGTCAATGTCTCTTATGTAAGCACGAGATTTGGCATCTAATTCGGTAAAAATATTATTGCTATTTGTACAAGTAAGCTGTTCGTTATTAGAATTACAATATAGTACTACATCTTTCGAGGTTGACGGTATCGGATTCAAGCTAATATTTTCTTTGTTACAGTCAGTTGTGTTGAGCCTTCGCGAAGTACTCATTCTGTATTTTTCTCTTACAACGAAAGAAGATTGTTGGCTGCATGGATGATATTTTTCCTTGTGGCGATAAAAACCTTCTTTGGTACTGAATTTTTTTCCTGCAAATTAAAACATTAACAATTAATATTCGTACAGGAAAAACTATAAATTTAAAAGTATATCGACAAAGCAAAATGAGCAAAAAGCGATATTGTCATGCCGAACAGAAAAAAAAAATTTTTTAGAACCTAAGTACATTACACGAGTTGTAATCAAGCAATTGAGAAAATTTAACATCAACATTACATCAAGGCTTCATCAAATAAAAATTAGTTTGTAAACTTTAGTGCAAACCCACTAACCTGACCAAAAATGTATCGTGTAATACTCGAATACTAAATGTCCTACGTAGACGTTTCTTTCTTGTCTAAACATAGGTACACTTGAAAAAGTGAAAATGTACTTCTCTACACGAACTCAATTTTCAAATACTCACCACAAAAGCAAACTTTGGGTTTGCCCAGCAAGGTATGAATCCGCAGATAATGCCGGCCCACGTTTGATTTGCGCTGGCTGCGATATCCACAGCGTGTGCATTGGTGCAACTTTTTCACATCCCTCTGACCGTTGCGGCAAGCTCCTGAGCTTTCGTCATCGGAGCTGCTGCTGCTGCTGCTGCAAGTGCTACCGCTGCTGATGCTGTTGCTTCTGCTGGTCGACGGAAACTCATCGCTGTACAAAAGGAACTCCCTTTTAATTTCCTATATCTATTATGTCTAGGGATGATCCACGCTCGGCATATCGTACTCTTGCCGGCGGCCCGGGCCGGAGACACTTTTAGAATTATTATGTATGCGTGTATGCGCATAGGTATATGTATGTGTTTGTACGTTGAGCAGTTGAACACACTATAGATATACCACTGCGTATCGACTGGGGTGACTTTGTACTGGTTAATACTACTTGTGGGCGCGAATGTTGCCAGCTTTCAGGGACTCCTCCGGAGCTTTTGTTGTGTCCGTTAAAAAAGACCATCGCGAGATTTTTGTTGACAAAGACAAGAAATACGATAACTTGATTGCGCGGACAAACTTTTGTCTCCGAAATCACGGGCAAAGCGTCAATTTCGTTTCGTTCGAGAAAAAATGCTACGCCAAAGAAAAAGCCCCAGTAACCTTGTCACGGGACAAAGGACACCAATAAAAATGATAAATACTCGACTCACCTGCTCGTGGTATCCATATCCTCGAGCCCTGACTCGGAAAGCTTCTTGATCCGCATCCTGGTGAGCGTACCTTACGAGCAACTATTGATGATCTGCAGGAGTGTACTTCCGTTGACCTTGGAGACAATGAGCTTTACGGGAGCCGTATTATAAGCAGGAGCTATGCGCGACGCCGAATTGCGTTCTGATGAGGTGAAGTCTCTCTGCAGCGGTCCTACCGTCCTATCCCAGCTACTGTATGCGCGCACACACTTACCAAATGGGCGTGCACGTGAACACCACTACACCTATAGCATACACAGGAGGCCGAGCCGAGCTCCGATATTTGGCAACTCCGTAACAAACAAGGAGACGTGTAATAAACAACCAACCAATAACGTACCGATGCTCCTGTCTATGCTCTGTCCTTCCCCCTCACGTGATGGACACGCGCGCTCTCGTCGCGTTGGAAAAAAGCCGCACGTGCAAGGAGAAAATTCTCGGAAGTATTATGTATACTACCCCACGCGTCCTCTCCTCTTTTCTTTGCGTATGCTCTCTTTTGCACATATATGCATATGTGTGTGCGTATGGGGTCATCGAGACTTAATACACACTCCCTGTAACTACACATAGATTTACCTCCATTTGCTTATCATCTACAATATTATTTTCATGCCCTGCGTGGATGCAATTGTTATTGTTGAACGGAAACTCGTTTTTTTTAGGACTCCGTATAATAACACTGACTCTCTGTCTCTCTCTCTCTCTGTTGTGGAGAAGGCCTTGAACCTGGGCGTTGTCTTTACCCCCTCACTCCACTGGTCTTCACAGATTAACAGGATCAACCAGAAGGAACATAACACACTCCGTTCCCTGCGATTCAATAGACATGCCCTAACTCGTACCTTACGCAAATCCCTCATCGAATCTCTGGTCTTTCCGCACCTGGACTATGCTTCATCGGTCTTCTTTCGATTGGACGTCACACGCAATTTAAAAATGCAGAGAGCCATTAATGCTTGTGTTCGCTTCGTGGCCGGCAATATTCCGAGAGATGCTCACATCACACCATTACGATTGGAACTGGGCTGGCTTTCTGCTCGACGTAGACGTGAATACCACTTGGGGTGTCTTGCCTTCAATTGCCCTACATACCTCGCTGATCGTTTTCGCTTTGCTCCCCACTCAGTCACTAGTTCCCGCACCCTTCGCCGCCCACAACCTTTGCTCATCGTCCCTCCCTCCCGCACCCGTGCTCGCGACGATTCCTTCTATATTCAAGCATCTGATCTCCTGAATTCACTTTCACCAATTAACCTTGCCGATCACTCATACTCATCATTCCAAATCCTACTCCATAATACCCTCTTGCAGCGCGACCAGAGCGAGTGGATCGAACGTGTTGAGCGGGAGGGAATTGTGCTCGCTTAGCGTAAACAGTGCTTCAACCTTGACCTCAAATTAACAGCGGACGCTCTGACGTGGTTGACCTTTCCCATCACACATAATACACGACACCATAGCCCAACTCTGACATCCTGCATCTAATGACTCCTCCTTGCACCAACCATCATTCACTTTATCTCGCCTACCTCAGCACCTAGTCCTTCACCTGCTCTCTCCCCACCTGACTCCTCTGCACATAACTCCCTCCTCCTGTCCCTCTTAATTCCCCAACCACCAACCATCCTCACTCACCACTCTCCTTTTGTTAGCCTACTCTAGCCTTCTCGCATCCCACAACCTTCTAAACGCCTTTCCTTCGCATCTCCCTTGCCCTCACATCGCAAATCAAGCTAGCTTTCTCACGCATTCAATTTACCTTGTTATATTGTTATACCTTTTATTTTATTTTTAGTTTTAAGTGGCTTACATTTATTTGCCTTGCGCTCAAGTCTGATTAACTCTTCAATTTGTAATCTCACACCTTGCTCTCTTTTGTAATTTGTTTGCACGCTACAATTTTAGCTTATTGAAATTAGTTTTAAGTCTGCTTATCTTACTGTATTATACTTTTCTGGCCAGATGGGGGTCTTCCCCAAGGCATAATAAACACTCTAAACACTCTAAACACTCTGTCTTCCATTATCTTGTTTCCACGTATTGGCCAAGGCGATACATAACGGTATATTCAAATTCTCTCTCTTTCGTGGCAATGTTTTTTAGACTCTCCAAGGAAATCGTCCCTTGCAAGATTGTTCACCAGAGCCACAAAAGTGTAAGTAATACCGAGTAATACACCAATACCATGATTGTTTTCGTATATCTGACACCAGGACTCCTCGTGCTTGCCCTGGTTGGATGCAAACCAAGTGAGAAGAGAATTTTTACTGCTCAAGGCGCGGTTAACGTCCCAAGATACAATCAAAAAATTTCTGAAGACAAATCGTGATTTTTTTTTTTTTTTATTTAATACAGTTTACGTATGCGCCTCCGTATGCGCAATCGATCCCTATAATATACGTAATCATGGTTTTTTTTTTTTTTTTACTCAACTGGGGCAATTTTTCAGAAATCAAGCTAGTACTTGATTATTTTAACTCCCAGAAGTTTCGTTGGAGAAAAAAAAAAAATATATCTCAGCCATAGTGTACACTGAGCTCCAAAAAGTGAGTATACAGTGCGGGCCAAAGAAAATGGACAAGCGATAAGGAGTTGCGAGAGTTGGGCGGCTATACAGGGTGTAGTGTAAGCACAGCACTGCTTCTGGAAGTTCGTTACACATAGTACGATACGTGTGTAGGTATAACGCGGTCCGCATAAACCAGCGAAAGGGTCGAGGTGTTGAAGGTGCGGGGAGAACCCAAGACTCGGACAGGCGTGCGTGTGTGCACCCTTGACGGCACTAAAGCTCGGATTGGAAACTTACTCGCTTTTCTGTACACCACGTTACATGTGTGTACGTACAGCACCTCCTCCACCCATCAGAAAAAGGAAAAACTACTTACTCCCACACAGACCTTCTCTCCATCAAGTTTTTTTTTTTTTTTTTTTTTTAAATTCACTTTTTTTTCTTTTCTTTTTACTGCATCAGCTCGCGCGAGCTCTGCCATGCTGGTGTATATATATATTATACCGTATAGTAATGGTGTGAACAGTGATTGCAGCCAAGTTAACAACTTTTGTGCACTTTGGCAAGTAAGTACCTGCTCGTGTGTGATGTATACAATAAGCAGCTACAAGTTCGTGTGGTAAGCCCTGTTTTATTGAATTTTACTCTTTCATCGGATAATCTTTTGGGCTGCAAAAAACAACGCTTACAGCTGTATAAGTAGCTACATCGTATTTCCACCACCTGCATGTTGATGACAAGAAAAGACTGCGACAACACCATACCTACAATATACATATATAGTGGTTACTGAGAAATCGTGGGCTTTTCTTTGTAATTCACTTCCATTCCATAATTGCCATAGTAACCCATAACATGGAGTCCTTTTCAAAACTGAATATAATAAGTTATATTCAGCAAAAAAAAAAAAAAAAAAAAAAAAAACGAGCGATCGCACGAGCAGGGATTCGTCCGGTTTGTATGGAATGACTGTATGGGTACCTCTGTTCTTTGAAGTTGCGGTGCTTCGCGTCGGCGTCAGCGAGAGTGGAAGCGGGTAACGGGAATAACGAGCAATTTGAATCCCATAGAGGCCCTTAGCCACGAATCTCACGAAACTGACAATGCAGTTATCGGCTCTCGGGGCTCAAACTCCCCGCGCGTGTATCTATGTATCATATTATTTACAACCCGCGCCGTGTGATCCATACACGGATATACACGTGCAATGCGTGTGTAGCTACCATAGGTACATATACATACCTGTATTTGTATAAGGATGTCTGATGCGCTAAATGCACCTGATTTCCCCAGCGACTTTCTCTCTCTCTCTCCTCCCAACCCCCCCCCCCCCGGCTTCGCTTCATCTCGCCGGTGATGCGCGTGTGCGCCAATGTAAACAATGCCTTTACTTACGGTGTCTGTGTGTGTCTGTGTGTGTGTGTGTGTGTGTGTGCACATGCAGGCCCGCATTATCTCCGGCGGAGCCTATACTCGACATGAGCCATCAACCGCGCCACGCTGCCGAGCCAGTTATACTTTCTCTCCATCTTTTCACTTTTTTTTTTGTTTTTCTTCAACCAAACCAATATGCAAAGTTAGTGGGGAAAAAAAAATAAATAAATAAATAATATGGGTACAAGTATATACATATATAATATACCCTCCGTAAATAGAGCAAAAGTTATCTTAAGTGCCAGGGGCCGGGGCGTGAAATATCGATGCGTGCGCCATTTCCGTCTGCTTCCGAGGGGAAAAAAAAGCGTTGGAGAGGAGAGATTATTACGCGAAAAGTTCTGGCAAACGCCTCCCCGTCGTTTCTTCCCCGGCGGACGATTAAAACTTTCGGAGCACCTTGCACGTACACGCGGATATACACCGTATTATACATGTGTACAGCTACTACGTCGTTATATTTTTTATATATATATACGCCAGGATATGCCGGACGTTGTAGGAGCAAAGCCACACCGAACATCGCTGCAGTGTACCTATAGGTATACATAAAAATATTATTTGGAAAAAAACAACGCGCGCGCGCTTGGGCCAACGTGTTTTTTTTTTTTTGCTCTTTGACGATACGAGCTTTGATGTCCAGAGCTGGTGGCTTTCAACTCGTACGTTCATTCCTCCCCCAGTTTTATCTTACTCCTTTCCTCTCTCGCATCCACTGTGCATTGTATGTACAATTCCGTTACTCACGAAGGTAAAAGGTAAAAAAACAGAGCGAGCGTGCACTTCATTATCGGTGTATATTATTATTGTTTACTGCAATTTTTACGTGCAGCATATAGTACAGTTTGTATTTTACAGGCCGGTTTTATTTTACATCGTGCTTTTTTTTTAAATTTCTTTATTTATTTATTTCACGGAGTGGGAGGACCACGATAACGCTGGAACACCCTCTTTTTGCGGCTATTTCTCACGCACGAATCGTTGTCCTTTTTTATACTTTCGCTACGACAATCGTCCTTGGTTTAATTACCATCAAAGTTGCTGTATAAATTAATACAAGCTTAAAGAAAACATTGCTGTGTCAACTTGAAAAATCGGTCACTTTTATCACGCACGTACGAAAAAAGGCAGCTACAAAGTATTTTTCAAAAAAAGTTTTTTTTTGTTTTTTTCCTTTTTTTCGATAATCCAACGCGTATCTCTTGCTCAAGGGCACACTTATAGAGCCGTCACGCCGATTATTCACCATTTCAATGACCAATCTCGCTGTATCCATTTAAAATAAATTACCATAAACTTGATCCTCGCTTCATTGGTATATTCTTAAAACTTGCATGGTCTTGTCTTACTGATGCACGTTAATTGTTGGTTAACCGTTGTTTGAAAGGACATATTACATATTATACACGTTGTATGCACACCTACGTGGAATCTGTTGTACTTACGAGGCTAGTTTCATCGAAAAAAGGAAGAAAAAAAAAAAAAAAAAAAGATCCCGAGATGGAAAATAAAAGATTCCGAAGCCAATGGGGTCGTGTCCCCCGTGTTATCGTCATAATTTCCCTGCACGAGGTAAGTGAAGAATGCATATATGTACGCTGAAGCTGCTCCGATCTCCCGTGATATGGCAAGGATTGTCATTGGATGTATGCAAGTGGTGCGCACGTATCGTAGGTGGCATTCTTGCCGGTAGAGGGCCAGCGGTGACCGCAGCAGTAGAGAGCGGCGTCAGCGGCAGCCGTGAGCAGTTGCGCGCAAACGAGGCGCACGAGCGCATGTTTGGTATTCGCCGCGGCAGACACTCCATCGTCGGATCTTACCTCAGTGTCGGTTCTGCTCGCTCCACGTATAGTGGTTCGCGAGGACGAGCCTCGAAAACGTGCATTCCAGCTCACCTGTTTGACCGCTTATCTCTAGGTGTACACCATCCATATACCATACTCGTTCGTGCGGTAGATTTAAACACATACATACTGCTTTCTCTCGCGACCTCGCTCTGCAGCTGTGCTCTTTTTTGCTTGTTTTTTTCCTCTCTTCGTCCTTAATTTCCCACGTTCCGTACATATTACATTCGTGTCTCTTCTTTCGTCCGTGCTAGCCGGCAGCCGGCAAAAATATGACTTACCCTCTCTACTTGTACGCATCAGCTGAATCGTAACAGTGACAGCTAAAGGAACAATTACGAAAGTACTTATCACTGCTGCAAAGGAAAAAAAAAAGGTATTTACATACTTTTTTATATAATCAAGTAAACTCTACGTATCTCAATAAATTCCCCTTTTATTATATTTGTACGCATATAACGTACACATTGATCATAACTGGCTGTCTGACGAGTATAATCAAATGGTCTGACGCACGTTTTGTGCGGGTATACAGCGACTTTCGTCACACTATCGTACGCGCACGTTGTTGCACATGTACGTCTATACACGTATAAGTTATGTATCATGTGTGAGAGGAGCGGGTAGGTTATACATATCTATATAAAGTGTACAAATTAATGTACTTACATCCGCAGTAAGTATCAAAGAGACAGGAAGAGGCATCGGAGAGAGTGCTCGTAAAAGCATCTCTTCCCGCAACATGGGATTATATTATTATATTGTATTGAATTATGATACATTTGTAGCTGCGTGCTCCGAACCTCCACTAAATTCTCATCGACTTCCCGAAATTCTTCACCTTTGTATACGCGGTACTACTGTTCAATCGATTTACCGTTCGAACGGATGTGCACGTCACCGTGTGCGTGTGTACTTTAGCTCGCCCCTTCCCTCCACCCACCCACATCTATGTATGCGCTTAATTTATTTGATCGGACTCCACTTCGGCAACAGCCAGGTGCTGGCTACGACGATCGTGCAAGAAGAATAATTGAAGTGTACCATAGAGAGCGCACCTACGTATGTGTATATCTATAAGAGTTGACAATAAAAACGTTATCGACGACGAGACCCGCTTGCCCGTATCAAAGCGAGATAAGCTTTATCACGCACCGTGTGTTGCATGTACTTCCAACGTATGTAACTGTACGTTACTGTTGAGTACTCACCTTGCTGCGTATATGTTGGGGTTATATTACAAAATATAAAATTTTTTTTTTTTTTTATACAAGACCTCAAGTTAGCATTACTTTTACATAAATTTTAAAATAATACCAAAATCAAATTTTCATGAAAATTTAATGCGGTGAAAGCGGTTGCCCGAAATCTATCACGAATCCAATATATCCGCCGAAATTGCTCTCGCAAATGCACATAATTGTATTTATATACTCCAATTCGAACGTTTCGTATGCCACAAAAGGCTGATCGTATTGCAGAAATTTTAAAAGATTTTTCCATCACGATGAGCCATCAGTGCTACAAGCTCGCAAACTCGTTAGACCGGTCAACCCAAAATAAAAACCGATTTGTGTCAATTGAGCGAAACGTTGAGTTATCAGCTCCGATAGGGATTGGGTACAACGGCGAAGTTTGATTTTCATTTGGCGCGTCGAAATTAACGTTCTTTTGAATGGTTTTCTCGGTGCCAATGCAGTGCAAACAATATTTGAAAACAGTCAAAAACCTCTTAAGCGACGCTCCAGATAAGAAACGCAAGCTCGGCAAGTCTCTTTCAAATTCCCGGCGTTATCTGCACCTCCGAGCGACGAGTGATGTATTAGGTCGCAACTGTCGCCGCCGACGTCGTCTTTGGTTCGAGAGCGGCGTGGAAATAAGACTTATCGCGGTAGAGCGAAAAAAAAAAAAAAAAAAAAAAAATCGAAGGGGAAGGGTGCGTGCATTTTGGATTTCAATGCACGAGGCAATATTTTACCGAGTCAAAGGACGTGCCGCTGCATTTACACGCGCAAAACGGGGAATTGAACCGCGTGTAGGATAACGCAACATCGTGTATATCGCTGCCTCGATCGACGTGGTGCGAGCGGAAGAAGAAAATCGCTCTCGAGCGTTCACGTGTCAACGTGTAAGGGGTATGTGCATGCCATGCCGACTTTCCTGCGATCGGCTACCGGTATGGTATACAACGGGCTCTCTCGTGTGTAACGACATCGCAATTACAACGCAATCAATCTCGGCCATGGCAATTACGAGCTCGCGCGCGCGCTCTTTTGCCGCTTCTGCTCTCAAGTGCCACCCAAGTGTTATATGTTTAATAACATATATTATGTTTTGCCTTTTTTGCGCACCCTCTTTTATGTACAGTATACGTATATAAATATGAGGTTGCGAACGTGCGATATCATTGTGTTTTTTATACAATGCATATATTATCATACAAAATGTACGCGTGTAAAACAATAAAAGCTTACAAAAGTCACGTTACACTCGCTTCCTTTCTCGCTGAATCATTAACCCATCCGCGCTTTTTCATCTTCAATGCCGTAGATTTGTACAATTTCACTTTTTTTTTTTTTTTTTTTTTTTTTTTTTTTTTTTTTTTTTTTTTTTCAATTTTATTTATCACTCGAGAATCTGTACCCGCTTGCTTTACAGAAACACGTTCTAACACACAAGTTATTCCTAATTTACGACGATAAAGAATCAAAAACTCTCATCTCATAATTTCCTCCTGTAAGATATTCCAGTGAAATGTTTTATGTAAATTTCGCACCGTTTCCACATCGCATCGCCGCTTACTATTCATACATTCATTTTGATTTCAATTATTATTATCATCATTCGTATTCGTATGGGTACAACCATTGATACGAGAGTGACGTAACAACGACGACGACGACGACCAACGATGAAATACTCAAGACAAAAAGTGTAATACATTTACCGAGTATATAAATATAATATACGCACAAGCTTAAGTAAAAATCCAAATTGGAAGGATTATTCTTTATCCCGAAGTACTTGACTTACAGCCAAGCTCATTAAATTCGCCTCTGCTCCTCGCTCCTCTCTCATCCGATTTTCATTTGAAAAAGAAACTGACCTGAAAAGTGAAAAAAATTCCGAGTCAAAAGAAAGTCCCTGGAGAATTTTTTTCGATTTCCATCACATTTATCTGCCCCCCTCTCGGCTAACGAGCTCCATACACCAGTGAATTTATTAATTTTTTTTTTCCCCCCCTTCCCTTCCACTCGCGCTCCTTCACATTTGCCAAAGGATCCTCTGAATCGTCAAAAATGTATTCAGCGGCAGGAACGGAACAAAGCCCTTTTACCGCGAGTCGCGGGTTTCCCACACTCCCCCCGCGCGGGTATTTCGATTTTCGACCCGTCTTCCTCCTCCGATAGCGATCCCAACCGTATAGGCGCTGGTATAATTAAACGACTCCCCTTCGGCAAACAAAAGCCGAGAAACTTGGATCCCGAGCGCGGAGTCAAGGCATTACGGAGATAGAGAAAGGAAGCGAGCGAGGGGGAAAAAGAAAAAAAAAAAAAAATGAATCGAGAGGATCGATTTCTCTATCAAAGTTGGCCGATCGTCTTCCTCATCGAGTTACTCGCGGGAGACCTTATTAGAATCGGAGGGCCGTGATGGGGATGAAAAGACGCGAGAGCGTGCAAGACACAGTCGTGCGGGCGTCGTTTGAAAATTAATCGGAAGAGAGGAAGGTGGAAGTAACAACCTCAACAGGATTTGCCAAAACTCTTTTTTTTTTTTTTTTTTTTTTTCCATCTCCCCCACCGGGAACTCTTCTCCCCTCTGATAATGTAAAGCCATTTAGCGCGCCAGCTTATTAATCGACGCTCGAAAGAAACGAAGGCAAATTTATTTTTTTTCTTTCTCTTCGCCGGCACCAACTGTTCACTGCACAGCCTTTCGAGATTACGATTTTTTTTTTTTTTCTGTCGGCGTCTCTCTTATCAGCTCCGCACTCGCATAGATACCCTCGCTCTGTTATCAGATTACGAGATTAGGTCGCTCATCGTTGAAGGCTTGCACCTACAGGCGTCGATCATCGTGGTAGTGTGATCGATCGGCTCGTCCCTCTCTGGTATATAGGTGTTGTTATTTTTCACAAAACGCCGATTACATCGAACGAGCGAGAAGCCTAGTAGGCGTGTGTATATATGTATATAAATAAATTCTTTCTCTTGCAATATATTTCTCTTTCGTTTGAGCAATTAGCGTCCACTCAGAGTTCCAATATATATACAGCATGATATGTAACCGTGGCATTTCCCGAGAACCACGTGTAGAGCGATTTTTTCTGACGCGAACCCCGTTGGAATTAATTTTTTAGGGCAAATAGCTTTTAAATAGGAGCCAATTAAAAATACGTTCCAAACTACCCCTGAATGGGGTTGGAAGGCTATAGCGCGCCCGCATGAACTCGCGACGTTGCCATATTGTTGCCGTATTGTTATTGGAGCTTAGTCGGTAAGCAGTGAGAACTATATCCATGTGCGCACGCAAGAGCGTCAGCTACTGCTGGTAACTTGAAGGTTGGATGTAAAAATTTTTACCTTGAGGTAAATATTGTCTGCTCCTTAAGTTGTCAGTTGTTTATCCACGCGCTTACTGTCTTTCTCACTCTCATGTTGGACAAAAACATCTTTAAATTTTTATACTTAAGTAATGTTACCTCAAATAAAAGTAAAATACCATATCAGTAGGGATTTTTCCACTCTACACGATAGTATTTTTGCAAAAATAGTCGACCTCTTGGTCAAAAATATTGTTGTTGGGTATGTCTTGCTTACGTTCCCGGGTATGTCGTCTGTACACGATTTAGAACGAGTCCATTCATAAATTGCAATAATCAAAGTATATTACAGTTGATATTGCTCATAAAAATCATTTATTTATCATCCAAATTTACATACTTTAAAATAATACGTTTGAAAATGCTCTAAATACTATCTAATTATTTCAACAAAAATTATCGAACATCTTTTCAAAAAAATCGTAAACTTTTTAGTGTATTGAATAATAATTAAAAAATGTCACGTTAATAAAAAGTTTGCTTAATGTACATCTTTATTCAGTTAAAACTTAACCATTAATATTAACTGACACATTGAGAATAAAAAATAGTTAATAACATACAGAAGTTAAATTTAATCGAATTTAGTCCCCACCAAGTGCCCGGAAAGTACCCGAGGAAGTGCCCGCAAAGTACGCGGGAAGTGCACGCCAAGTACTCGGGAAGTACCCGCCAAGTAACCATAAAGTACCCGAGGAAGTACCCGGGAAGTATCCGCCAAGTGCCCGGGAAGTACCCAAGGAAGTACCCGCCAAGTATCCGGGAAGTAC